ATTCTAACATTCTGGTTCACCAACTGTTTATTTCGCATTGCATGTGATTTCGGCCCATTGAAAGAATGCAATACGGAAACGCCCAACTGATATTTCTGCGATTCACATTTAACTCAGTGACTTGGGAGTAGTGGTGTTGGACAATTGATATTTTTCTGACCGACCATCCTTCAGATTTCCTCTTCACACAACCCTCAGTTCGTTCAGTCAACCATACACCCAGGCAGTACCGAACTCAATTTTCTCTTGTTGGAGTTCATCACTGCTGTATATCCACCGTCCCATCCTAAATCCGAACTCCGGACCCCTCAGAGGAAAAATGTCGATGTCACCACCGATTTTTATGTTTGCTTGTGCTCTTGTTTTTCAAACATATCTGCATTTTGTGTTGCCAACTTATCACCGACCGGTTCTGTTGAATATAGGTACAGTGATTTACTGAAAGATTTCAGAGATCAACGTGAAATTTGGGAAGCTAAACTCAACTCGCTGACTCGTGAACGTCAGCACGAAACCACGGATCGAATCAAAGAATTGGAAGACAAACTCGTCACTTGTCAAACGGAGTATGACGAACAGCTCCGAAATGAACAAGCACGCCAACAGCGTATACTACAGTGAGTGGTTGGTTAATCTCCATATAGGTGAACTTTTGATCTTGCTTCATGCTCTGAATCTATACTCGAAGATAATTTGTACTTAGAACGAACTAGTGAGCGACCGAATTTGATTAGGGTTACGGAGTTCGTTCAAGGAATACTGAGCAACACGGTTTCGGACGTTGGCAACCGCAGAGACAGTTGGCATCCGACTCATGCAGCCTGAGCTGTGCGCACAACAAAAATTGATTCAAGCTCCCAAACTCCCTCGCCAAGGGAAGAGAAAATCGCTTGTTCACATGACCATGAAGTAACATAGCGAATTTAGTTGCGTGATCGAAACAGTGCACAAATTTGGAGTTCTCATTACCAAACTCTTGACTCATCTTTCTTTCTGTTTTCCCCTGTTGAAATTGTTTCATATAAATGTGATTGTAATGGCTTGATAAGGAATTCACCGAAAACATATGTTCACCTACACTGTGTTTTATCAATGAGCCAATTTCGTGATTTGAATACTGATTCGTTGATATATACAGGTGCATCAGTATTCTAAAAACACCAAAATCAAACTCCCAGTTTCACTACTGCAAGCACAATCAGTGGTTAAAAATTCCAGATAATGACTGCAAGTTGGTGGATCACTTGTACTCGGCACAAACACATATGTATTCAGTTTTTCTCCGATCCTTGTTTGTGTGAAACATTTTGGGAAAGTTCCCGAAAAACGATAAGTTGGTCACTCACCTAGAACAGTCATACAAGTTGGAAAATGAAAACGTTCCAAATGGCCGTTCGACTGTTTTAGTGCTATTGCCCAGTTGCGATCCTGTGATAATCGTTCAATTCTAGAGCAGCAATGAAAGTAATAGAACTTTGTGGAATAATTGGTCGCATGGATATTTTGCACTATCTAATGCTCAAATCCTTTGTCCCTCTCTGATAGTTATCCAATGAAACAAAGGTCGTACAGTTGACCCTTTTAGTTAATGAATAATAAGGTTGAGAATACCCCTAATAATGTGAACGTTACACATCATAACTTTTCCATTGGCGACTACTAGATTATTTAAAATAATCTATT